TATATATAAGCAGCATGGTGGAATGATATGTCCATTCTGCATTGTAATAATTATCATAAATATGAAATCCCAAGCTGATATTCGGTAAAATCTGAGGATTTTCATTAATCTGCTTTACCGCAAAAGCCAGGGCCAGGATGTGTTGGTAATTCTTGGGAAATATTCTAGAATGAGTGTTGCAATCTGTATCAGATAATATTTTACAGTTCTGAAACTTTTTGCAATAATTGTAGATTATAGAAGATGTATATTACTTTGGAGTGCATAATGTTAAACATAATGTAACATTCATAAATTCAGATTGTTATATTTTCATATTACCTCATATTCCCAATCATCATAAAAAATAATGTCTTTAAAAATTAAACATCTTCCTTCTGCACAATTGCATTGTCTGCCTAGCATCTAAAGTTCCTTCAATTCCCTATAACATCATCTGGCATTCTAATTAACATAAATGCACCTACAGACTAAAATGAATTGCTTACGAAAGTTCCTCAGGCATGGTTGGTGGAGGTTCCTTTATGAAATCTTTGGCATTGGAGAGGAAGATCCCATGAGATACGATGCTGCCAATGATGAGATCTCCAGATTGACGATAGCTGTGAAGTGGGTGTTCTGGATATCTGACATTACATTTTACTTTGAGAGCTTCATATGCCGTGTATGGAAGCAGAGTTAACAGAAGCATCGCTTCTACCAACATCCTGAAGTCACTGGAAAAATCTTCTCTTTGCAGATCCTTTTATCTAGAAAGCAGCCATTAGAATCTCTGCTGATTCATCAGCATACAAGTAGAAGGAATTATAATTGTTATAATTCCAATATTAAATGAGTCTTCTGGCCAATCTAAAACTCCAAATATTGTATACCGGAAGTCATACTGACAAACACATATCCCCATCCCTACCACTAATGCTAGAGGTTAGATTTCTCCAATATTTCACTGAGTGTGTTCCATCTTTGGGAACAAACTGCAATTTTATAACAGTTAATTTAATTATAGATATTATGCTAATTGTAGGAATGGGAATTATTTCTTATACAGAACTGAAATTCCATGTAGAATATTTTTAAAAAATGGAATGGAATTAGCAGAGATGGCTAAATTTTGATTAAAGAAAAAAATACAAATACCTTTATTTCTACTTGAAAACCACTTCTGGACTTTGTGCTTGAAATGGAAAAAATGAAACTTTGGTTTTGGGTTTTACCGATTAGATACATTTCTTGTAATAGTTTATATTATTGTATGAAAGTAAAAAGTTGAGGTTAGATGTTAATGCCTTATTTTACTGCACCAAAGGAGTTGGAAGTCAATGACTCCCCCCCCATTGTTTTCCTCCACTATCCACTTTCCCTTTTTCTTTCCTTAATTTCCCTATTTACTTTTGTATTCTCTTTATATGCCATATTATAAACTAATAAAAATTTAATATAATAGAATGTCTTTAAAAAAGCACCACTTTTAAATTTTCTTTAATTTCTTCAATAAGAAATATATTTAATTTTATTTTTCTGGGAACTGGGCTGTCAAAGGAGAGATAATCCAAAATATGACAACTGACATTTCATTCATGTTATCATAACACTGCCCTGCTTTTCAATATGGTTTACTGAAACTGAAGAACTAAATTTCTAACACGTAGAAAGTCTAAGAAACATTGATTCCTGCATATTTTAATTAGAAATAAAACAGATATTTCCTTGTGAACTGAAAATACATATTTTTAGAATATGTTCTCTTTCCAGGAGAAGGTATTCATCAAAGTAGCATAATTTACTATTACACACCCAAATTTTCCAAGATCCTCCAAACCATGTGCACTTTTGTCATCAATAGTGCTACTGGGAGGCTATAGGAAAATTATATATGTCTTAAGTTTATAGGCTCAGCAATTTCATTCATATTACTTTATTCTGCATTAAAATATTTACCAAAAATATTTTTTATGAAGATGTTCCCAATAAAACCAATGTGAACAAAGGAAATTGGATTTTTTTTTTCAATTATAACCTCAAGAAATCAGCAAGAAATGTTAGGTTCCAATTTTAATTGACACAGACAAATAGCTGCCGCAGTGTATAATTCTTAAACATTGAATGTCAAGACTCAGAAGGAAAAAAATGAAGCTTTGATTTTGAGATTTATTGATTAGAGAAGAGTTCTTTGTTATAGAAATGACTAGTATATATTGAGAATTTAAAGTAAAAAGTTGAGGCTACAACATTCATTTAACTGAGGGGTCCTTGGTGCTCTCTGAGCTTGCTTATTTTCATGCAAACGTTTCATTACCAAACTAGGTAACATCTTCAGTGTTAGTAAGGATGCTGCTTACTGTCAGTTTATATTTTAGCGGCTTGCCTGTCAGTGCTGGTTGGGGTGGGAGTCTTAGAGATTCTTTTATTGCGTTGTTAGCTGTTGGCTTCTCTGGCAGCTTCTTGATTGGGGTATTGTTTACTTGTTTGTTGGTCTGATGTTAACCTTGGAATTTATCTATGCTGATCTGGGTGCTGATTGCTGTTGGAAAGTAGTCTTGGAGTTTTTTTGGGCTGAGCGATAGTTTCTTATGCATAGTCTAGAGATGTGGTTAATATCTATGTGACTATTGATGGCTGATTTGTCGGAATGCCAGGCTTCTAGAAATTCCCTGGCATTTTCGGAATTGGCTTGGTCTAGGACAGTGATGGCTAACCTTTTTTCCCTCTGGTGCCAAAAGTGTGTGTGCATGCACTACCACGCACTCACACGTGCCCACACCCATAATGCAATGCCCCTCCTGCACACCCCATCCCCCTGCACATTCATACGTGACCCCCCGTGCATGCAGACATGACCCCCGCATGTGACCCCACCCCCTGTACATGTGTGCATGAATCTCCCCCCCTTTGGCCTCATATCCCAAAATGGCTGAAAGTGGGGGAAAAAAGCTTCACCTCCCAAAATGGCTGGGAGGGGGAAAAAAGTCTCACCTCCCAAAATGGCTGGATGGGGGGAAAACCTCACCACCCAAAACAGCACTGGGACGGGAATCTGCAGAGAACTGGGAAGGCACAGACAGCAGAAAGTGAGGAGAAAGGTAGGTCCCCGACATGTCTCCCGCTTGCAGGGCAGACCCGAAAATTAGCTGGCCGGCAGGAAGCGTGTGTGCATGGACAGTGGAGCTGAGCTGGGTGACGGCTTGCATGCCCGCAGAGAGGGCTCCGCATGCCACCTGTGGCGCATGTGCCATAGGTTCGCCATCACGGGTCTAGGATGATCACATTTTCCCAATTGAAACTTGCAGCAACTTGAACACAGAAAAAAGGAAATAGAGCATCTATACAAAATATTCCAACAAAATGGATATCCATGCAACTTTATCAAGAAGTACCTAACCACTCAAGCTATCAATAGTCACACAGCCATTAACAACATCTATAGACTATCCAAAAGAAACTCACCCAGCCCAAAAAGGAACAAAAAGATTTTTGGCAAAACATCTGCACATAAGATTAGCATAGATTAACTCCAAGGTTAACATCAGAGCATCAAGTAAATAATACCTCAATGAAGAAACTGACAGAAAAGCCAGTAGAACAGTGCTGGTGAACCTTTTCGGCAGTGAGTGCCAAAATGGGAGCATGCATGCACGAAACCAGAAAAGCAGCTATCCTGCATGCATGTACGTGCTGGGAACATGATCTTCCAGTTTCTGGTGCATGCATGTGCACTGGCCACCTGGTCTTCTGGTTTCTGGCACTCATGCACACAGGAAAACCAGCTGGCCAGTGCACAGGCATGCACCGGAAACCGGAAGATGATCTTCCCAGCACATGCATGCGTGCAGGATAGCTGCTCTTCCAGTTTAAGGTGCTCCCACGCACATGAAGATCAGCTGGCCGGCATGCTGGAACCTGGAAGAGCAACGGGCAATGGCTCGCGTGCCCAGAGAGATGGCTCTGCATGCCATAGGTTCACCATCACAGCATTAGAATATAAACTGACAACAAACAACACTCAGTACTCGTACTTATGATGTTACCTAGTTTGAGTAATGAAACAACCCCTCATGTCAACTCTCAGCTACAAATATTCTCCTTTATTTGATCATTTAACTGCAGTGAAAAGAGACAGAAATTAATGGTTTTTTTTCCCTTTTCCCCTTTATTTTACACTTTTTTCTTTTCCTTTTCCCCCTTTCCCATTTTTTCACTATTTTCAGGTTCATAAATTCTAATAAGTATAATAAAATTATATTATAAAAAGAAAGTCAAGACACAAAATAGCAGTTCATTGTGGGCTCAGGTGTGCAAATAAACCTACTTTCTCTGGCAAGTGAGCAGAAGCCATATGGTCTATCAACTCTTCCAATGCTAGCTTTCCACATGCTATTCTGTTCAGGTAAAAATAATAACTATGTATTATTAGAATTTAAATGAGAATAATTAAGATATCTGTGTTAATATTTATAAAGCATGACTCGTTTAATTCCTGTATAAGGATATAGCTTCTAAACAAAATTCATATTTTTAGTTGGGGAAATATACTGTATATAATGCATACATATATATATATATATATAAGATCTATTTGACTCCCCCCTCCTTTCTGGACTAGATAATGTTAGTAATCCAAATACCTCTTGACTTCTAACTACAATTAGGATATATTGGAATGTCTGTTGCTAAGTGAAACAGTCATGAATTCAGTCACACCCTATTTTACAATGTTTTTGCTGAATCATGTAGTCATACAGTGAATACGACTACCCTGAATAGCTTTGCTTGCTGGAAGACAGGTAGGAAGGTGGCAATCATGTGACCAAGGATGCTGCAACTATTGTAAATACTTGGTGGTGGCCAAATGCCCAAATTTTGTTCATCTGACCATGGGTATAGGTCATCTGACCATGCTGTGATAGTCCTAAGTGTCGTAAGTCAATTGAATGGTTAATAAATAAATGGTCATAATGAAAATGTAATGGAAATTGTGTGCAATACAAATTGAAGTAAAATGTTTTCTTGAATTTGATGATCATTGTTATTACCCAGACTTTATAGTCATATTATTAACTCAAAATGGGGAAGGAGAAAGATGACTTGAAGATACATGCTGGATACTTTTCCAGGTATCTTCAAATTGAAAGTGTTCCTAATGAAATATAATCCTTTAACAATTTAATCAATATAAATGCTTGGAAAAATATTCAGCACAATTTCTACAATAAAACACACATAAACATGGAAGTCCACCTACATATTACCACTACATTGTAGGGCACATTCACTACTGTGTCTGTCTTCTTAGCTGCCTGTTGTTCAAATCTGGTCTCAGAACAATAATGTAGCATTTGGGGAAAAAGATACAGATCAGCAGCCCAGCACTTGAGGCTAACATTGAGAAGATCTCCACAGCCACTGTATATTTCTCCCTGGTGCTCAGGTAGGTTGGAACAAAGGATATCCAAACGCTGCAGAAGACCAGCATGCTGAAAGTGATGAACTTGGCTTCATTGAAACTATCAGGTAATTTCCTGGCAAAGAAAGCCACTATGAAGCTGATCATGGCTAAGAAGCCCATATAACACTTTGCAATGTAAAACATAATCATGGAACCTTCTTTACATTGTAGGACAATTTTTTCAATCTCTGAGTGCAGGTCAGTATCGGGAATAGGAGGAGAGATGGACAACCATATAGTGCAAATCCCTACTTGAATTAAGAAGCCAGATAAAATAAAAGTGTAGCCCAGTCTTTTCCCCACCCACTTCTTTATCCCACTTCCTGGCTTTGTTGCTACAAAAGCCAGGACCACTGTCACAGTCTTGGCCAGCACACAGGAAATAGCCACAGAGAAGATGATGCTGAAAATAGTTTGTTGCAGAATACATGCCACTTTGGTTGGCTGACCAATGAATAGTAGTGCACAAAGGAAGCAGAGCAGGAGGATGACCAGGAGCATGTAGGTAAGATCCCGATTGCTGGCCTTGACAATGGGAGTGTTGTGATGCATCAGAAATATCCTTAGTATGAGAATTGTGATTATGGAACAGAAAATAGCAAAACAGGCTAAACTGATCCCCAAAGGTTCTTTGTAAGACAAGAAGCTTATGTCCTTGGGAATACATGAATCCTGGTTTTTGTTGGGATATTTTTCTTCTGTGCAACTATAGCAGTCATTCAGATCTGTAATTGAAAGGTTCTTAATTAAGTTTCAGATGAATGGATAAATCTTAGGAGTGTTTTTATATCTATACACATGAAAAACAATAAGAAATTGAAAATAATAACCTTATAAAAAGGACTAGATACAATATGTATTGAAGAAAATTTTACACATCGTAGAAAATGTTCATTTAACATAGAAAATGTTCATTTAACTGTGAATAGGCAAATATTTACTGCAAATCTATGTACTACTAACATTCTCATTTTTACAATCTTTAACTGGGTGAAACACTGTATCAAAGAGCAAAAACTTTGAACCAGTGTAGCTCAAATGAGGTATCTTACAGAATGGTTACAAAATCCAGGATCCATGCCTCCTAAGCATAACTCCCAATTGCCAGGCTATTGCTGCAAGCTGCTGCTGCAATCACATGATTCTCATTTTAATGATCTATGACAGTTCCCAATCATAGTCACAATCCCTCCCTCCCCAGCAGCTGCCATTTATCTGCCTGCTGGGAAGGGAAAGAAAGGGATCAAAAGAGCAAAAGGAAGGAAGGGAGGAATAGGGAGGAAAGACTCCCATATACTCCTGCCAGCCCCCCCCCCACACACACACACCATTTGCTTTTGCTGAACTGTGCCCCCTGTGCCCTTTCCCCAACCCATAGAACACCTATTGCACAACCTCATTCACCCTTCCCTACCTGTGACAATTCCACTTATGCTCTCCCTGATTCTCACTGCTCCTCTCATGACTTCCAACTACCACCATGTATGTTTCCCAATTTATATCAATCCCCAATTTATATCAATCAATCAGTAAGGTATCTGATTCACATGGAATTTCTCACACATTCTAAAGCACCACCAGGCATATTTCACAACCCACCCCCACTCTCCCAAATGCCCTCCTTGGCCCATATGGCACCTCTCACTCACCCATCACCCTTCCCACATACCCTGTCAACCATCCACACACTTTCCATCCACACACACCCAGCATCTCTTGCAAACCCCTGGGCCATCTTTCTCTATTAAGTAATCATATATATTGGTGCCACTTTTATGTGTCACTTTTTTTAAAAGGCTGATTTAACATGAAAATCTTGTTTCCTCATTTTTCCTCTTGTTGAAGATGGAAGGAGAGTGTATGAATTCCATTCTAGGACTAAAACTCACAGGGTTCTGGTTTCTAGCCTGGTGCCTTCATCACTACACCAAACTGGTTCTCAGAATAATGAGAACAATAGAAAAAGTACCTGAAAAAACTCAAGGTAGTTACATACTACCATTGTAAATAATATTATAACTGTATAAGAAGTCAAAGAAATAATTAGACAATCTTTTTAAAAATAAAGTTTTTCACTTTATAAGGAGTTAGATGCAAATGAATAGAATATCCTCACCCTCTTTTTCTGAAATCATTCCTTCTGGACATGATATGCAAGAGTAACAGCAAAATGGTTCCCCATCCACGACCTGTTTCCTGTACCCTGGATAACAGCTTGATGTACATACGGAAATAGGATGTGTCTAACTTATAAATCAAAAATAACAAAAAAAAAAGTGGTAATCTTTGAGCTCTGTATTTTTGAACTCTTATTTATTATCTGCAGCATGGCTGTCATGAATTAAAATGTACTATACAATGTTAACTTGAACATCATGTACAATAGCAACAACAAAATTTAGAAGTCTAGGCTGATCAATCAATTTAATGTTTGGAAATTTAACAGCTAATTGTGATTTCATTTCTATACTTGAAAATAAATTTAATATTTCTGATTCAGAATACTTCCTAAAACCTACCTGGTTAAACCAGCTGTGCCATGTTATGGCATCTTCCTCAATGAAGAATGATTGATCTGTAGAAGACTGAGGGTCTATCCTTCCAATTTTCACTTTTGTTATCTTTTTAGAAAGAATAAAATTGATGATATCAAATCCAGCTATTAACTTTCCATCTTGGTCAAAGGATATCTTGTATCCAACACTGTTGTTAAATGTGACCTGTCTCAAAAAGTGATGGAGCTAAATTACAAAGAAAGGACAAATATTGAGGAAAAAGTTGTAGACTAAAACCATGTGCAATTGTTCTGCTTTCATTCATTTAATTATTTATTTATTCATTCAAGCTAATTTGCATTTCTTACTTGCATTGCTTTTGGGGTTTCCCTTCCCATTCTGTCTTTTCTGTTAATATTTTGAAAGGTGGCAGTAAAGTTCTATCTCTTAAAGCACTTTTGAATATTGCCCCCAAATATCTGTTTTATGATAGCATTAATTACATAAAATGACAGCCTTTGTATGAGAGGATAATATGCACATGATGGTATCCATTTATCAAGATCAAGTCCTAGGCTGCATCAACAAAGAATTAGGATCAAGGGCTATATATAACTGGAGGTGGCTACTGGACTAATTAGCTGACTCCACCTCACCCCTGTGCTTCTTTCTCCCCTTTCATCTACATTTTATAATTTAACAGAATAACAGAGTTGGAAAGGACCTCAGAGGTCTTGTAATCCAACACCTACTCAAGTAGAGAAATGGTTGTCCAATCTCTTCTTTAAAAACTTCCAGTGTTGGAGAATTGACAACTTCTGGAGGAAAGTCATTCCACTCACTAGTTTTTCTAACTGTCAATAAATTTCTCCTTAATTCTAGATTGGTTCATTTTAATTGTTTTATTCCTTTGCTATTGTTATGATTATATTTTTTATCAGTTTCCCCATTTTATTATTTTAAGCTGCCCTGGGTAGACACTTGACTGTCCCCAATCAAGATAGGTAGCAAGTAAATTTAACAAATAAATAATACATAAAAGTATTAGTTTTGGTCATTGTGATACAAAAAATATACTGAGACTCTTTCTAGAATGCAGAGAAGAGCAACAAAGATAATTAGAGGGCTGGTCACTAAAATATATGATGAACAGTTGTAGGAACTGGATATATCTATTCTGTGAAAAGAAGGACTAGGGGTGACATGATTGCAGTTTTTCCAAAAATTATGAGGCTGTCACAGAGAAGAGGGGGTCAACTTATTCACAAAGCACCTGAGGGCCAGATAAGAAATAACAGATAGAAAAAAGGAGAAATCCAATCTAGAACTAAGAAGAAATTTCTGACAATGAGAACAATTAATCAGTTGAATGAATTGCCTTCAGAAGTTGTGGATAGACCATCACTGCAGATTTTTAAGGAGATTAGACAGCCATTTGTCCAGAATGGTATAAAGTGGGTTCAACTAGAAAATTTCCAAGATTCCTTCCAAGTCTTTATTCTGTTATTTTATTATGGATGGTTGATAAAATGTCTGGAATACATTCTCAAATTGAAACTGATCCTATCAACAAATTGAAATTGTTTTTGAACTAAAAAGGATAGTAGAGACAGGACTCATTTCAGTTAGGATGATGGATGGAAAGAAAAAGAAAAATAGTTATTGTGTTTCTGTGCTGGAGAATCAGGATTCAAGAGAATGATGGCCATATTACCTGCCAAAATGATTGTTTGTGAAGCTGCAGTCCATCATCCACTGTTGTCCTGTATTTGAATCCAGATGTAATCATATCCTGGAAAGCATGGGCTATGGCATAAACAGCATTGTAGATGCTGTAGCTGTGACCAGTCATATCCATTTCAAAACTGGGGGGAGATAGGCTCTTCAATTCCTCTGCCCCTGTGCAATGTTTCACGTTTATTTCATTTACAACTGTACCTGGAAATAGACAGCCAAACGTTTTCTCCCAAAAGGTTTTGATAAAACCATCTCCTGTTGCACCAGATGGTGTTTGATTCTCTAAAAACTCATGAAAGCCAGGTACGTGATTGGAATGAAAGATGAAGGCTATAGCTCCATTGAAAATGTCTAAATCCCAATCTCTTTGAAACCCAAAAGAAGTCAGCTCCATTTGGGCTGTGGTGATCCATACTTTGCCCAGGGGGTTCTTGTCTTTACTTTCTACTTCTTCATCTGATAAATAGGATAGAAATCTAAAAAATCCCAAGGAATGTGATTCACTGTAGGCCAGTATCACTTTAACCTTGTTATTTTCTCTCAGTATATCATATATTATGTTCCCCTGTTTTAGCATCCACTCAATATTCGTTATAAAGGTTGGAATGGGGATCTTTTGTATGAATGCAAAGCAGACACCCTTCTGAGAAAACATGGGTATCACTGTTTGGACAAATCTTTCTCCACTCTCAGTATCCATGACAACCATCCCAATCCACATCCATCTGAAGTACAGGAGCAAAGAAAGAATCCCCTCATATTGAAGGTCTTCCTTAGGAACCATCTGGTAGAAGGGAAGACCAGGAGATTTGTCCTTCATCACTGGAGTTGGACTATAGGTGAGCTAAAGAGATCCATGAAGAAAGGATAGAAAAGGAACAAGTATAGTAGTCATAGGTATGCTGAACTGTTTAAAATATGTAACATATAACTTCTTTCTACTTAGTATTTCTATACTTTCATTATGTGCTGTGCTAATTAGTGAAGAACGTGGAAAAAGTACTTATACTAATGCCTAAGGAGAACTATGGTTTTTCTAGGAAGAACACTACTTATAATAATATATGGTGATTAGGCATATCTAATTCAACCCTGCTCTTGCTTGATCTTATGAAATGATATAACTGCAATTGAATTAATGTATTAATGTATTAAGAGCCTTGGTAGTACAGGGGTTTAAGGCACCCTGTTATTAAGCTGGTTATTAAGACCAGCTGCCTGCAATTACTGCAGGGTTCGAATCTCGCCAAGGCTCAAGGTTGACTCAGCCTTCCATCCTTTCTAAGGTAGGTGAAATGAGGACCCAGTTTGTGGGGGCAATAAGCTGACTTTGTATAAATATACAAAAAAGGATGAAGGCTATTGCTGAGCACATTGTAAGCCGCCCTGAGTCTTCGGAGAAGGGCGGCATATAAATCAAATTAAATAAATAAATAAATAAATAAAAAAGAAATGTGATTTTAATAATCATTTTCATCAAATTATATTTGTGCTTATGCAGGCAGAAAAGACATTCCATCTTCAAATAACTTTGAAGGCATTTGTCTCATTCACATTGTATCAATATTCTTCTTTAATTTTAATTTTTTAGTTTATCAAAATATAAAATACAAAAAAAAAATAAAAATAATGAGAAAGAAAGGGGGGGAAGGGAAGGAGAACAAATCTAGAAAAAGGAGTGGGGGAGAGAAAAAGCATTGACCTCCAACACTTTGTAGTGCAGTAGAATAAAATTGTAAGATACAGACTGAACTTTTATCAGCAAAATCCAAAATCAATGTTTCTTTTTTTTCCACCTAAAAAAAACAAAGTTCAGAAGTTGTTTCCAAATGGAAACAAAGTTAGCTGTATTACATATCTGCTAACTCCATCAGATTTTGCAAAAATCCATTTTGGGAATTAAAGTATCTTTCCATTTTTGCACAGAGAAATTCTTGTTGTGATCAGCATCTGTAACATCAAATTCCATTCCCCCCCACAAATTCTTTGTCCATTAAGCCTAAGCGAAAAGCCTCTAATTTTATCTTTATATTCACTTTAATAATATTTTGTATTATAATGTGAATCCTACTTCAATATTTGTTTGCTTTGCCACAGGTCCACCATAGATGATAAAATGTTTCTTCTTTACGTTTACATTTCTAACATATATTAGAAACACCTTTATATATTTTTGGCAGTTTATTCAGTGTTAAATACCAATACATCATTTTATAAATAAATCTTTTAAATTATAATTTATTGAAATTTTTAAACGCTTCATCAACATATTTCCCATTGTTCAAGTATAAATTATATACAAAATTCTTTGCCCATTGAGTTTAAATTAAAAAATGGGAAATGTGGAGAATTTTGAGAAAGAAAAAAGCTTCTACCTTCCTAACAGTCATTGTGAAGAAGCGGGAGAAGGAGACGACATTTCACTTGAACAAACCTGAAGGACTGATATTTACTTATCAAGGACAAAGATTCAGATTGAATTCTATAGAAAATGCCAAGGATTTCCTGATTAAACATAAACTATTTTTGGGACTAACTGAAGAAATGGATATAGACAATCAATGGGAGGCAGATCAACCTTAAATAACAGATACAGAAAAACAGGGAGACTGCATAGGAAATTGCTACATTGTCTACAAGAGAAGAATAAGTATATAACATTGAATATTTATGGAGCAAAAGATACTGGGTAAGATTAGAAAGAAAGAAAATGAATCTCAAATGACAACAATGGATTCTAAAATCTTGCACCAAGTTACTACATCAAAAAATTGTTCATATTAACAGTTTGAGAAATAAAAACTAAAGTAAAAAACTATGCAAAACAAAACAATTTGAATTTGCAAATAAACCAGGAAGATGGCTGGCATACAAATTAAGAAAGGAAAGAGAAAAGAAAATGATAGAGAAAATGAATGAAAATAACATGACAATAACATGTTCTCCTTAAAAAGTCCTTTTATAATTTTTATTTAAATTTTTATAAGAAGCAGGAACTTGATGTGTAAAAAATAGATGATTATCTGCAGAGATGATGAATATTGCCTTTGAAGAATTTAAATATTTACAAGCTCAGAGACAACTAATGAACAATCCAGTCACTATCCTTGAAATATTAGACTATTTAAAAAATGAAAATAAGTAAAGCTGCAGGTCCAGATGGTCTTACAAGTCAATAGTACAAATGTTTTGAGGACTGACTCCTACAGCTATTAAAAGATATAATGAATGATGTACTTCAGGGAACAAAGATGCCTCAAACTTGGAAAAAAGTCAACATTGCACTTCTACAAAGGAAAGTCAAGATGTTCTGAGGACAAAAATCTACAGACTAATTTAATTACTACCAATGATTATTA